TTTGGATTAGGTCTGCTTTAGATCCCGTGTGATAAGGTCTTATGACTTACCCAAGGTCACTCAGTGGGTTTCCATGGTCGAGCAGGGATTTAAATCCTGGTCTCCACTGCATCACACTGGATCTCACATGAATAGGCCTATACTCAAACCCTAGTACACAGACAGAAATGACATAGTGTCCATATGATGGTACAGCCCACTGGCATAGTGATTTGAGCATTGGACTATGAATCTGGAGATGAGGGTTCAGTTCCCACTTGGCCATGAAACCCATTGGGTGACCATAGGCAAGTCACATGCTCTCAGCCTCAGGGGGAGGCAATGGCAAACCTCCTCTGAACAAATCTTGCCAACAGAACCCCATGACTGCCTTAGGGTTGCCATAAACTAGAAATGACTTGAACGCACACAACATGCACATTGTATGATGGCAGGATTCTTAAGGCAGCACTTATTCCCCATGTTCCTTGGTCATCCCTGGCGTCAGTATTATGGCCACCACCTACTAAGAAGCAACATCCACTGTAGTCCTTCACAGTAGGGAACTAGGAAGACCAACTGGAACTTATTCAAGCTGTGACAGATAGCCTATGCACAGAAGTGAATTTGATCTTGTCCTAGGATTAAAAGATAGGTTTAAAGGTAGGCTACACACTTTGTAAGCCTCTAGAATAGATGGTAGTGATACTATCTTACTTGCTGATTTTATTTCTGCAAAGATACTGCTGTTTTGCTTCAGCTTCAATCTGAGGATGGGTCTTAGCCAGGCCAGTTTGGTTTACTTTTATCTTGCGATGGCTGTCATAGATACTGAATGGTGGCAATATAACAGAATATATTTGTGCAGCTTTCTCAACATTTGGTAGTTGCTAAGTTCATCACACATGAAGAGCCAACACAACTGTCAGTTTTTAATCTACTGCAGCCCTCTCTCAATGAAATGGCAAGCCACCACATTCTAAGTTAATGTTTTTAAATATTAATCTTGTATCTTGCAGATGTACAAACATGTAGATTTCAAAGGTGGGAGAGTTTTCAAATATTGCTATTTCCTCTAAAGCCTACACCTTCTTCTTTTCCTTCAGTGTATTTTTTAAAAAAAATATTTTTGTGAAAAGCACAAATGCTTAATTTTGAAGCATTTCCTTCTAAAATGTGTTTCCTGTTCTTAATAAAATACGAAATCAGAATCAAAGTGGCAGCCTCTCTTAGCTATGGAAAGGAAATCTTTTTATGTTATGAACGGTTTTCTTTAAGCTTTCAGCCTGCACATTCCTATGAATCAATTTGTTAGTGTTGATTGGTTTTAAGAGTTTTCTGTCTTGTACATTTAGCTGCCAGTTTAGTTCTGATATTAAAAGAAATATCAATGATATCAACAGTAGCAAAGCAGTAACTGATAACTCAAACATCAATGAATAATAATATATTAAGCAGCAATATAAAGCTACAACAACTGTGCAAAGAAAACTGGGAATATTTCAGGTTCGGGGTCCAACTGGAAAGACTATTAGATCTTAAATTAATAGGATCTAGGTTTGGCTTCTTAAGGAAAAGTACAGACAGGGTTTCAAATAAAATTCCCATGCAAAGAATTCTGGAATGTATACCCAGGCCACAAGCACTGCAACTCAAGATGGAGATGGGACAAGTCCTCCCTTGAAAAGCTTGAATGTTTGTGTATATTGCCACATGCTTATGGAAGAATTCTGATTTAGTGTTTTCTTCTCTATTTTTTAGTAGGCTGAAGAGGTACTGATTCAATAACATGTCATCAATTTCCCAATAATGCTTCATAAACAACCCACTACACTTCTGTCCCTTTTTATTCACCCCTTAAAAAACCATCATCCTTAAAGAATAAGGGATTTTCATTGCAGAAGAATTATGGCAAGGAAAAGGGGAGACTTCACTGCATGACACTTTCCTTAAGAAGCTGCTTTACATTGGATGAAGTTATTTGCCCAGTAAGATCAACACTGACTGGCAGCATCTTTTCAGGGGTTCAGGCATGGGTTGTTCAAATCAATGCTACTTCAAGAAGCTAGTGACTGAATTTGAGAATATCAGCAAGCAAAGCATGTCCCTACATCTGAGGCAGTGGTGTAGCCGAACAGGAGAATTCTCTTTTTTGTGTCTTATAGGATGTAACTTTTCATTTCAAATTTTCCCTTACTAACATGTTTATGGGTATTTTTGCATGTCCTTCAGTTTTTATTTTTATATTTTTGCATTTCTGGGCTTCTTGCAAAAAATACAAACCCTACTTGTGCAGAAACATTTTTACACACACACATTTGTACAGAAAGCAGTGATTTTTGTCCAAATGAAAATTTCACAAGTCCCAAATGTGAAATATCTTGCAGTGGTTGATCATTTTTTTCAGAAGAGTGTCTCCATTGTGTTAATTCACTCATTCTCTTTCAAAATAAGAAAATCCGCAAGTATTCTTTATATCTGCGGTGCCTTTGTCACCATTTAATATTATTAGCTGTAAAGCCCTATACAGATTTGAGTTCAGGCTGTTTGAAGGACTATGTAAAAGTCTGTCCTGGACTTTTGGGGTCTTTGGTTCCAGAGGAAGAAATAACAGTTTATGGATAGATTCCTATACCACAGAAAAAGAAAAGCAGTTCAATATGTTTCATTAGTTTTTATTCAGAATTAACAGTATGCATAAGTGAAAACCAGATTAGGTAAAGCTTACATAATCAAATAAAAACATTTTAAACTTTCTACAGACCACTTGGAAGTTTCTTCCAAAATGCATGCAGGGATTACTTTTTCTTTCACCATCTTCCACTTTTGATTTTCATTTTGATGGTCAAACTCAAACTTTTATGAATTTGTCAGAAGCTTTGTTAACTGAGATATGCCTGTAAAGTGTGGACATGAGAAAGGGCTTTCTTGGTACTTCTCCAAGGTCAAAGAACACTCTTACCAAGGAGGCTAGTTGGCTGCATTAAGATGAAAGATAACTGCCAATCAAAGCTATTTATCAGCCTGCCAATAAAATTAAAAACATAAAGTAATCCTGGATAGACTGAACTGTTGTCTTTCTACTAGAAGGGAACAACCTTTGTATCCAGGCAGA